TCAGATACCGACGACTCAGGCGGCCCCGAACAAGTAGGTGCCTTCAACGCATTTGTTGGCTCCATTCATGATACCTTGGCGGGAACCAGTGCCGGTAATCCCAAGAAGAACGCATGCCCAATCGTCAAGAAAGGGAAAGGAAAGGTGGACGAGAGGCCTCCCACAAAACAAAAAAGGACCTTAATGTTCGTTGACATGAAAGTAAACGGCAGACCCATTCGGGCATTGATAGACACGGGGGCTAGCCACAACTACCTGGCCTCATCTCATGTGCAACGCCTCGGTCTAGCAGTGCAAAAATGCAAGGGTCGTGTCAAGGCTATCAACTCTCCATCTCAGCAAGTGAGCGGAATAGCCAAAGAAGTGCCAATGAAGCTTGGCTCATACAAGGGAATATTCGACCTACACATAGCTATCATCGATGACTTCGAACTGATAGTGGGATTGGAATTCCTCAGGCAGACCAACACCATCCTTGTACCATATGCCAACATGCTCCTAATGATGGGAGACAACGGGGCCAAACCCCGCACCATACCGTACATACCCATGAAGATGGCCGCTGGAAACATCACGGCCATGTAGTTAAAGGAGGGAACCAACAGACTTGAACCTACGGTTCCAGCTGCCCTCAACATCATCAAACAGACATCAGATCATCGGCGTCCAACAGCTCATAGCGCCCCTCATTGTGTGAAGACTTGTCAAGCATTCCAAAAGGATAAGTCAGATCACTCAGCACAAGCGGGACTCTTGGAGCCGCTACCTTTCCCACAGAGACCTTGGGAAAGCATTTCCCTTAATTTCATCATAGGATTACCCAAGGTCGGAAATCATGCAACCATCATGGTGGTAGTAGACCAATTTTCCAAGTATGGTACCTTCATCGAAGCCCCACATAACATATCGGCAGAAGATACAACTCGACTCTTCTTCTCTCACGTTGTCAAACATTGGGGTATGCCCAGCAACATCATTAGTGACTGCGACCCACGCTTCACTAGTAAATTTTGGACCCAACTCTTCAGTTGCCTCGGATCCAAATTGAGCTACAACTCAAACCATCATCATCAACAAACATATGATCAAACAGACCGGTTCAATGACATGCTGGAGGAATATCTCCGCCAATTTGCAACCGAGTCACAAACACATTGGGTGAAGTTTCTGGATGCTGCTCAGCTGTGTTTCAATTCACAAAAGTGCGCCCATACAAACAAAAGCGCTTTTGAAATTGTTATTGGACAGCAACCGCTACTCCTACAAAATGTGAATGCACCAAACATGCCATTATCTCATCGAGTTGCCAGTTTCTCGACAGAATGGGAGCAAACTTTGAAGATAGTGCAGAACTATCTTGTCAAAGCCCAAGAGAAGGCAACGAGGTATGCCGAACAAAACCTTCGCTTTGCCCAATATCAAGCAGGGGACAAAGTGATGGTAAGAACCCCGGGGCGGAACTTGTTTGCAAAGAGAACCCAAGATTCTCGCATATTGCAAAAATACATCGGACCCTTTTCCATTGAAAGGCGCATCGGGAAATCCACATACCAGCTGAACACATCAGCCTGGTGGAAAATCCATCCAGTCTTCCATGTCAGCCGCCTCAGGCCATTTTAGAAATACATGGAAGATCATTCAGAAAGACATCTCACAACACCGAGGGGAACAGACCTCCCAGCCAACAAGAGCCTGACCAATCATCATCATCC